TGTATCCTCGAAGCCTTCACTAGTGCTAATGCTCCAGGAGACAGCTGGTCATACGGAGCAAGCAAAAAGTCTTGGTTCCCATCAGCATCTTTCACAAATGGCAAGGCAGGGGTGGGAAAGTAGTCAGATGCACCATCAACAACTCTCTGCAACACAGCTTGCTGGTATACCAATGCACCAAACAATCATGATCAATGTTAACTGAAATCAGTTCATACAAGATACGATGAGAAATATTCTTGACTATGTACAAAAAGAAATCAGCCTGTCCCTCCCAGAAAATGCATACAAAAACTGATCAGGAGAAAAGTGGATGACAGTTGCTGAAATGTGAGACACAATAATAAAAGTATGAACTTGATGACAAATCTCCAAATCAACATCTAGTTATAAAGTATGTTATATCACAAAATGAAGTTTGGACATTTCATCATCTGCATTTAATTTAAGCATGTTGTTTTATCGATTAGTTGAGACTGTTTTTGGCAATCTTGAAATTTAACATATCATGGAGTTCAGCTTATTGTTCACACACACACACACACACACACACACACACATTCAAAACAAGACATGGAAATTTCCCAATCTAGGTAATGACAAAAACTGAACATCCATGGCTTGATGACAAAATTGACAGAAAAGACTTGAAACACGCAGCAGGTCTGGCAGCATCAATGGAGGGGGAACACTTCAGGCACATGCTCTGATAAAAGGTCAAACAGAAAGATAAACTCTATTCTTCACTACAGATGCTGGCTAGTCTGAATACTTATTTCAGATTTCCAAAATGTTTACTATTAAATCGGACAATAAAAATCCAGTTAATTGTGTCTTTGATCATAAAAATATGATTACAAGCAGTTTTATAGTTAGGCCAACTGCTAATTAAAACATAGACAAACCTGAGGCAAGGGCAGAAGCAGGAGACACATCAGAAATTTGTAGGAAAATGCTACATTCACTATATCTTGATAATAGAATAACATGTGGTCAGTGAACTGGGAGAAGATGAAATCACCTATTCCAAGTCAGAAAAAGTGTTGAAGTAACTGAATAAAATGTTCACCCAGTAGGAAGAATTGGCTGTGGGTTATAGTGGCTAAATAATCAAATTGACTTAGTGATGCATCCCTGATTTCTGCTGGCATTTTGATGATTGCCTGCCCGCAGCCATCTCCAACCACAATTCATTCCATGAGAAAGAGTTAAGGAGTAGCATAGCAGCAGTTTACTTATGTATGATTTAATTCAAATCGACACTAACAAGATTGCATTTTAAGTTACAAAAATACAACCGATGCCAATAGGAATAAACTTATTGCCCTTTGCTTTCCCTTTCAATAACTCAAGGTTTATGCACGGCCTATGTTGTTGCCTTGGGATTTTGTACCCAGCAAAAAGTTAGAGAGAAGAGTACTGGAATGGGAGGACAGACATAAGTACCAAAACAGAATATTTTTGAATTTGACATTAGCTATTAAATCTGTTGTTCACGTTTCAGTTCCAATTCTTCTGAAGGCTAATTTTCCTTCCTTGCCTTGCCTGTTAGTTGCATACTTGAGCCTCTGAATATGTATTCAATCTCCACCCTCTCCCTTCCCCCACAAATTTAGAAAAACCACAAAAGATGCAAGCATTTGAGAGTTTGTACCATGAGAGATTTGTACGGAGTCACCAGAGGAACCACTCCCACTGCTGCCCTCAGCAAAGGATTGTGCATCTTCCTTCAGACTGCCTTCTTGTCCAGATAAGGTGCTTCCCTCCGTGACCCTCGACACCTGCTGCAGAGTTTCACTCACCAGCTGACGGGTCTGTTCACTCACCATTGTGGCTTGGAAAGCCACAGGCTTTGGTTTAATCAGAACCTGTAGTGCGGATGAAAAGTATCCTTTGTTACTATAGTTGTCAAAGGCCATTAAAACTTAACAATTAACAGGAGGACATGGGAGGAGAAGGAGGATTTTAAAGTCAAATCCTGACTGCTCATCTGTATTAAACTACTTGAATTTAATTTTCAAATAGGGTTTCAATAGTTGGTTTACATCAGAATACAGGGACAGGGTAGGGACGTGAGTTTGGGTGGAATGCTCTTTGGAGGGTTGGTATGGACTTGTTGGGCCGAATGGCCTGTTTGCGCACTGTGGGGATGCTACATAATACGTTGTGTGTAAACTTATCTACTTAAAACACAAAAACAAATTTTTACAATACCCACCCAATATTCCAAATAACTTCCAGATATGTTTCAAGATGAAAAAGCATCATGCCTCCAAAAACGTTAGTAAACTATCCTTCTCCAATGTGAATACCAGGCTCAGATGTATTTGACCAGAACTGCAGCTTTCTCCTCGCTAATATGATGCCTGCCAAAGTGTGTTACTTAAGCTAAGTGCACAAGCACAATCTGGGAACGAGCGCTCCAGTGTTTGAGCACATATTCCGATAGTTCACCTACTATGACGGACATAAGAAAGTAGCTGAGCAACATCCAGCTCTCACTCTTCCCCATTCGTGGGTAATCATCCAGCTTTCACTTCTTGCTGTAAGAGCAACATGCTCAGGTTTGGGAACTCCATGGAAACTCACCGCTAACACAACCAGTGAAGTAAAATAAGTAAGACAGGATATAGATGATGTCTGAGAAAGGTGCATGAAGAAAACAAAGACCTCCTTTCTGCTTCCACTTCGAACATTTATACATACAGGCTTATATTTGTACTGGGACTGGGGAGAAGAGGGGGTTGAAAGAGGGGCACAGAATGAGAAAGAGGAGACTTGGGTTCTAACTCAAAAAAAGGAAATCCACTGGGCACACTAAAAACTTTGTTACCTTCCAACATGCTCAACAAAGGGATCTAAGGGTGAGAGTGCATGGTTCCCTGAAGGTGGAGTCACAGGTAGACAGGGTGGTGAAGACAACATTTGCCATGATAGCCTTCACTAGTCAGTGCATTGAGTATAGGAGTTGGGATGTCATGTTGCGGCTGTACAGGATTGGTTAAGCCACATTTGGAATACTACATTCAATTCTGGTCTCCTTTCAATGGGAAAGATGTTGTTAAACATGAAAGGGCTCAGAAAAGATTTACAAAGATGTTTCCAGGGTTGGAGGATATGAGCTATAGGGAGAGGCTGAAAAGGTTGGGGTTTTTTACCCTGGACTATCAGAGGCTGAGAGATCACCTTATAGAAGTTTAGAAAATCATGAGGAGCATGGATAGGATGAATAGCCAAGGGCTTTTTCCCAGGGTAGGGCAACCAAAAACTACAGGGCATAGGTTTAACGTGAGAGGGGAAAATTTAAAAAAGGACCTAAGGGGCAACTTTCTCACACAAAAGGTGGTGCATGTATGAAATGAACTGCCATGGGAAGTGGAGGAAGCTGGTACAATTACAATATTTAAAAAGCATCTGGATGGGTATATGAATCGGAAGGGTTTAGGAGGGATATGGGCCAAATGCTGGCAAATGGGACTAGATCAGTTTAGGATATCTGGACAGTACGGACGAGTTGGACTGAAGGGTTTATTTCTGTGCTATATAACTTTTTACCTAGAGTCACACAGTTAAGTTGTGTTTTCAAACTTTCCCCAATGATGAACAATGGGAAAATGGTGATCAGGTGTGACAAACAGTGAAATATCATAGTAAAACAAAACAAAAACCTTACATACACGCTGTATTAATACCCTGAGGGATGAAAAGTAAATCTGTGAATACGAGAGAGACAGAAATAGTGGCAGATAGGACCTAAGAAAGATCAGATTAAGAGAGCAAATGAAATATTTCAGAAGGCATCACCTTTTCACACCAGCATTTTCTGGTTTTTATTTCTTCAGCTATAGAACCCACTCACCTGCGTTTTCCCTTGCTGTCCGTAGAGAATTTTGGTGGGGATGATTTTTGTGGTGGGTTGTACTGACGAACCCACCCCTTTTGGTTGAGCCACAATCATTTTAGTGATAGGCCTTGTTGCAGTGATAATTGCTGGTTTTGTCCCTGCAGGTACTGCCTGAATGGTCTTTTCACCCTAACAGGCAGATTGAAAGGGAGAGGTGGGGAAAAATAGACAAGTAAATGCTTTGAGAGCTAAAGCACAATTTTTCAACCCAAATTCAGTACATACACAGGCACAAAAATTCCAAAAGCCTGTGTCTTTAAAAGTTGTCTCAATAATTACTATAGAACAGGCTCAGCTATACATTTAAAGCTTGCAAAACAATCTTGGCACTTAAATTACTTGCTTCAAACATATTCAACTCAGTCTTAGTCAAATGCAACGGAACAGTTTTACAACTTCAGCTACAGCAGAACTGTGAAGGGAAGGTGCTCAAAACAGAAGTGGGGAGAGTGCAGGTCAGATGTGTTGCCTTTAGGATGACATTTAGCAGCAATATGGCCAGGGCACCTTGCATGTGTAGGAGCCCTCTTGGAGCATCAAAAGTGTAGAGGGAAACTTAAGAAAGCAAAGAGGGGGCATAAAAAACACAGGTGTGTAAAATTAGGGAGAATCAGAAGATATTCAAGAAGTATATTAAGGGGAAGTGGATAACCAGGGAAAGAATTGGGCCTGTTAAGGACCCAAGGGCAATCTGTATGTGGAGCCAGGAAACTTTGGCAAGGTTTTAAATGAGTACTTCACATCTGTCTTCACTCAGGAGAAGGAATATTTCAGTACAGGGACTGAGATGTTCTTGAGCAGATTGACACAGGGAGTGAGGAAATATTGGAAGTTTTTGTCGGCTTAAAAGTGGATAAATCCCCAGGTCCAATGAGTTGCATCCCAGCCTCCGCGGGAAAGAAGGGAGGAATTTCAGATCCTCTAACTCAAATTTTTAATTCATCTCTGGCCATATAGGTGCCAGAGAACTGGGGAGAGCTAACATGGTACTATCTTTTAAGAAAGGAATTACAGACCAGTCAGTCTCACATTACAGGTAGGGGAACTGTTGGAGAAAGTTCTAATTTCAATGGCTTTGTCAGAAACAGGTCATGCCTAAAAACTTTTTTGAGGTGGTCAGCTGTGTTGATAAGGGCAGTGCAATTAAAGTAGTTTAAATGGATTTTAGCGAAATTTTTGACAAGGTGTCACATGGGAGACTGATAAAAAAGGTAAAAGCACATCGGATTCAGTGCAACTTGGTAAGATGCGTCCAAAATTGGCTTGAGGTGGTAAGAGACCACTAAGGGGAGATGATGGCTTAGTGGTATTATCGCTCGACTAGTAATCCAGAAACTCAGCTAATGTTCGAGACCCGGGTTCAAATACCGCCATGGCAGGGCGATAAAAAAATGTCTGGAATTAAGAATCAACTGATGACCACAAACCCAATGCCCGTTGTCAGAAAAACTCATCTGGTTCACTACTGTCCTTTAGGAAAGGAAGCTGCCACCCGTTCCTGGTCTGGCCTAGCCTATGTGTGACTCTAGACCCAAAGCAATGTGACTGACTCTCAATTGCCCTCTGAAATGGAAGCCACTCAGCATCAATCACTACATATCTCAACAAAGAAATGAAATTGGATGGACCACCTGGCATCGACCTAAACACCAGCAGAAACAGCCCTGTTGACCATGCAAAGTCCTTCTTACTAACATATTGGGGCTACTGCCAAAAATGGGACAGCTGTCTCAACTGTCAAGCAGCAGCCTGATATAGTCATATTCGTGGAATCATACATTATAAAAAATGTCTCAGACACCACCATCACTATCCTTGGATATGTCCTTTCCCTTCCTGCAGGGCAGACCTAGCAGACATGGTGGTACAGTGGATCAGAGTTGGGAAGGTGCTGCTCTGGGAGTACCCAAGATGAGGTCTCATGGTTTCAGGTTAAATGTGGGCATGAAAATCTGCTGATAAATCACACACCATACTCCCTCCTCTGATGAATCATGATGAATCTCATGTTGAGCAACTTTTGGAGGAAGCACTAAGGATGACAAGGATGCAGGTGGGAGATTTCAACGTCCACAACCAAGTTAGTGACTCGGCAGCAGCACTAGTTAGGTAGTTAGGTCCTAAAGGATGTGGATGCTAGACTGGGCCAGTGACAGCTAGTGAGAGAACCATCAAGATGACAAAACATACTCGACCCAATCTTTACCAATCTCCTGGCGGCAGAAGCATCCATGACAGTATTGGTAAGAGAGACCATCACACAGTCCTTGTGGAGATGAAGTCTTGCCTTCACATTGAGAATACCCTCCAATGTGTTGGGTGGCACTTTGAAAAGATCTAGCAATTCAAGACTGGGCATGCACAAGATGCTGTGGGCCATCAACAGCAGTAGAATTGTACTCCAGCACCATCTGCAGCCTCATAGCCTGACACATCTCCTGCTCAAACAATGCCGTCAACCCTGGTTCAAATGGAGTGTGCAGGAGAGCATGCCCGGAGCAGCACCGGGAATACCTAAAAGTGAGGTGTCATCCTGGTGAAGTTACCAAACAGGACTGCTTGCATGCCAAACAGCCTAAGCAGCAAGTGACAGACAGAGCTAAGTGATCCCACAACCAATGGATCAGATCTACGCTCTGCAGTTCTGCCACATGCAATTGTGAACAGTGGTAGACAATTAAACAACTCACTATAGGTGGAGGCTCTATCCCCATCCTTAAATGATGGAGGAGCCCAGCACATCAGTGCTGAAGCATTCGCAGCAATCTTCAGCCAGAAGTGCTGAGCGAATGATCCATCTCAGCCTCCTCCCAGGCTCCCCAGCATCACACATACCAGTCTTCAGCCAGTTCAATTCATTCCGCGTGATGTCAAGAAATGGTTGGAGGCATTGGATACTGCAAAGGCTGTAGGCCCTGATAACATTCCAGCAACAGTACCAAAGGCTTGTGCTTCAGAACTCGCCAACTGTTCTAGTACAGCTACAACACTGGCATCTACACAACAATGTGGAAAATGGCCCAGGTATGTCCTGTACACAGGAAACAAAACAAATCCAGGACAATGACTGCCCCTTTGGTCTACTCTCAATCATCAGTAAAGTTATGGAAGGTGTCATCAACAGTGCCATCAAGCAGCACCTGCTCAGCTCTACTCAGTTTGGATTCTGCCAGGGCCACTCAGTTCCTGACCTCATTACAGCCTTGGTTCAAACACTGAAAAAAAGAGCTGTATTCCTGAGGTGAGGGGAGGTGAGAGTGGCAGCCCTCAACATCAACGCCGCATTTGACCAAACATGGCATCAACGAGCCCTAGCAAAACTGCAATCAATGCGCATCAGGCAGCAAACTCTCTGCTGGTTGCAGTCATACCTGACACACAAGATGGTGGTTGTTGTTGTTGTTGTTAGAGATAAGTCACCTCAGTTTCAGTTTATCTAGCAGGAGTTCCTCAGGATTATGTCAGAGGCCCAACCATCATCAGCAGCTTCATCAATGACCTTTCCTCCATCATAAAAAGGTCAGAACTGCAGACGTTTGCCCATAATTGCATAATGTTCAGTGCCATTAGCAAATCCTCAGGTACGAAGCAGTCCACGTTCAAATGCAACAAGATCTGGGCAATATCCAGGCTTGGGCTTAGGCTTACCATGTGGAAAGTAACATTTCATGCTACAAAGATGCCAGGCAGTGACCGTCTCTCATAACAGATGATCTAACCATCACACCTCGACATTCAATACTGTTACGATCACTGAATCCTGCACTAACAACATCGTGGGGGTTACCACTGACCAGAAACTCAACTGGATTTGCCACATAAACATGGTGGCTATAACAGAAGATCAGAGGCTAGGAATACTGCAGAAAGTAATGCACCATCTGACTCCTCAAATCCTTTCTATCATCTTCATGGCACAAGTCAGGAATATGATGCAATACTCCCCACTTCCCTGAATGGGTGCAGCTCCAACAACACTCAAGAAGCTTGACACGATCCAGAACAAAGCAGCCCATTTGATTGGCTTCCCATCCACAAAACATCCACTCTTTCCACCACCGATGCTCAGTAGCACTAGTAGTACTATTGACAAGACACACTGCAGAATTTCAAAGATCCTTAGACAGCACCTTCCAAACCCACTACCACTTCCATCTAGAAGGACATGGGCAGCAGATAAATGGGAACACCACCATGTGCAAGCTACGCTCCATGCCATCATGACGTGGAAATACATCACTATCGCTGGGTCAAAATCCAGAATTTTGTACCACGTGGCACTGTGGGTCAACCTGCAACACGTGGAATTGCACTGGGTCAAGAAGGCAGTTCACCACCACCTAGGGCAGTCAGAGATGGGCAATAAATGCTGGCCAGCGAGCCATGCCCAAGTTTGGCAAATAAATAAACAAACAAAAAGACATCGGGTGGTGGAGAAGGCTGTGAGAGACTGGAGGCTGGTGTCAAGTGGCATACCACAGGGATGAGTGCTGGATCCCTTATTGTACAGGATATTATGTAAATGATGCAGATGAGAATGTGGGGGATAAGTTTGTAGATTTCACAAACATTGACCAGGTGGTTTATAGTGAGAAAGATGATCTCAGACTGAGGAACGATATAGATAGGTTAGTCAGATGGGCAGATCCGTGACAGATGGAATTGGAAGTAGTAACAAGACAAGGAAGTACTCAATGAAGAGCAGGATACTAAGAAGCTCAGAGAAAGAGGGGGTGCTTTACCACAAATCCCTGAAGGTGGCATGACAGGTTAATACAGGGGTTAGAAAGCACATATGACACTTGCCTTTATCAGGTGTGGCATAGATTATAACTGCAGGGAGGTTTCTGCGCAGCGGAGCAGAATTTTAGTTAGGCGACAGCTGGAGTACAATGTGAAATTCTGTTTGCCACACTACAGGAAGGATGTGATCAGCCTGGACGGGGTGCAGACAAGATTCACCAGGACATTGCCTGGTTGAGGTATTTAAGCCATAAAGAGAAGCTGGAAATGCTTGGGTAGATTTCTTTAGAGCAGAGGAGAAAACCTAATTGAGGTGTATAAGTTTATGAGTGCATGGACGTAGTGAATAGAAAGCAGCTGTTCCCCTTATTTGAAACATCAAGAATGAAAAGGCATAATTTTAAGATGAAGGACAGGAGTTTTTAAAAGAGGACAAAAATCTTTTCACCCAGAGGGTGGTGGGAATCTGGAATGCACTGCCTGAGACAGCAACAGACACGGGAAACCTCAACTTTTAAAAAGCACGTGGATGAACACTTGAAATGTCATAACATTCAAGGCTATGGGCCAAGTGCTGGAAAGTGGGATAGTATAGCTAGGTTGGCACAAGCTCGATGGACCAAAGGGCGTCTTCTGTGCTCCACAACTCTGAGGCTTGGTGGCACTTTTGTCCCAAAATGATCTCCTGACTACATCTCTACCTATGGGCTTGGCAAATCTAACATACTCTGTGATGCCTCTGATGTTCTGGGATATCACCCAAACCTCCATTCTATATGCCCTTATACACAATGTGTCAATTCATCCATTATCAATGCTAGCTGATCTACACTAGCTGCTGTTTAAGTGATGCTACGTTTTCAAATCTCTTCATAGCTTCCTGGTTCCCTATTTCTGTAATATTTTCTAGCCCTGCAACCATTAGAGATCTTTAGACTTCTCCAATTCTGGTCACTGTTGTGATAAAGGTGCCTAATGCATCATCATCATCATCATTTTGGAATTTGGATTGTCAAAACAGAGGCTGATGCTTTTGGTTTCAGTTCTGTGAAGATAACCTTTCCAAAAAAAAAGTCAGGAAATCATTTGGAAAAGTGACCTAAATATATCCAGCTGATGCTGGAGTCAGAGATAACACAGTGTGGAGCTGGAGGAACACAGCAGGCCAGGCAGCATCAGAGGAATAGGAAAGCTGACGTTTGGGGTCGGGACCCTTCTTTAGAAGCTTCTGGACTGCTGTGTTCCTCCAGCTCCACACTGTGTTGACCTAAATATATCATTTCATTACTTAGTAAGTGCCCAACCAGATGGCTGATGAAGTATTTACACTGCTGAATTTATGACATACAGAAATCCAAATGACCAGGGATACAGGTAGTTCAAGTTCAATTTGAAAAAGAGTCAGATTTCAGTTTCATCTACATAGAGGAATAAGATTTTCAGCTTGGGAGGACAGTTTCACCTTCATAGAAGAGCAGTTTGTGAAGTTACAGGAGCTTGTGAAGCTGTCTGAACTGAAAATAAATTTAGGTCATCTGAAACTAGGAAGGACTCTTAAAACTGCTTAAACAGTCCAAATAAGAAAAGCTGGGAAGTGTTATTGAAGTAAGAAAGGAGTGATTTTCTCTAGGATTGAGAATCTGACAGGGATATTGCTGTGAAAACAGTTGAACCTTTGCTGCTGTGTTTATCATAGAATCATAGAGTCCCCCTACGGTGTGGAAACAGGCCCTTCGGCCCAACACGTCCACACCGCCCCTCCAAAGAGCATCCTACCCATATCCATTCCCCCAACCCTGCATTCCCCATATCTAACACACCTAACCTAAACATCCCTGGGCAACTTAGCATGGCCAATCCACCTACCCTGCATATCTTTGGATTGTGGGAGGAAACCGGAGCACGCAGAGGAAACCCACGCAGACACAGGGAGAATGTACAAACTCCGCACAGACAGTCGCCCAAGGCTGGAATTGGACACCTGGGTCCTGGTGCTGTGAGGCAGCAGTGCTAACCACTGGGCGACCCGTAATGTAATGCTTCATTCAAATTGCAGTAAATATTAATATTTAGCTGCTTGATTCTTTTGTGAATAATTTTTATGTTAAAGAAATATTAACAATCTCATGTGAATGTTTAGCGACTGGTATCAACTGCAAAATTAAAATCTATAATCTATCAAGGCCAGATTTCATTCTCAGATCGGACTTCTCCAGCACACCATTAAATGAAATCATAACAGGTGTTTCAATTTCCTGAGCCATATGCTCTAGAATTCTCTTCAAATTTCTATGTTTCTCCACCTCACTTTCTTTTTTTTAGGAAGCTCCTTAAAACCTCCCTCTTTAACCAAGCTTTTGGTCAGTAGTCCTAATAGCACCTCTGGTGTCATATAATGGTTTTATAATGTCTCCGAGAAGCTCTTTGGTAAGTTAAGGACAGTATATAATACAAGTTGAAATAAAACAAAAAGAACTGCGAATGCTGGAAATCCAGAACAAAAACAGGCAAAAACATGGCAGAAATTGCTGGAGAAACTCAGTGGGTCTGAAAAAGGGTCACTGGGCCCGAAACGTTAACTCTGCTTTTGCTCCACATATGTTGCCAGACCTTTTGACTGTTTCCAGCAATTTCTGTCCTTTTTGTATAAATACAACTTGCTGTTGTTAACTATCACTTCTCTAGAAATAAGATATGGTCAGTTTATGAAGTTCAGCTTCTAAGTAAACGGGTGGTGATACTAGAATCAAGGGACAGTCGTAGAATGAGGGCTATTCCATTTAAAACTAAAATGAGAAGGAATTCCTTGAGGGTGGCAAATCTTTAGAATTTGCTTACCCAGGAGGTCTGAGGAAGCTCAAGGCAGAAATCAATTGATTTTGGATACAATGACATCAAAGAATGTGGGCATAATGGGGTAAAACAGTAGCTTAAGGATGGATGACTAGCCATGATATCGTTAATACGTGGAACAGGCTCAGCCAATTGGCCATCTCCTGCTGCTATTTCCTATATCTTTGAAATTTGCCACAGCACTGGTTATTGACCCGTTACCGCTTCCCTATTTATTTTCACTACTGACTCTTTTTCTTAAGGTGAAGGCTAGGAGGTCAGTGATGCTGGAAAATTAATGATGTATGTTCATATCCACCCATTCTTCGCCCATAACTAACTGCATGTACTGGTGTTTCACTCTTGCTTGTTTCCTAATTTTGTCATACTTGAAACTTTTCAGTGACTTCCACGAAGGGATTAGGCAGCAGTAAATGGAACCACTATGGAGCATGTGCTTTACATTTAGAGTACAATAGGTAACTATGAACTTACCCCAGCATTCAACAATGTTGTGACCACATTTTTCCCTGGAATACCCTGGATGGTTGTTCCCTTCCCTGCAGTCTTCTGTACAACAATGACATTTGGCTTCGACGTCATAGAAGTCATTGGGATTGTAGTTATTTTTGTTGTTGTTCCTAGAGCAAATGCATGAAAAAGTGTGATTTATATAATTTTTTATTGGACAGGCTGATTGGGCAGTAAATCAATAGCAAAGTAGGCACTTAGATCCAAGATTTGCCACATTAAGAAAGGCAACTTCAAGCACGGAAAGCAAGAGATTTAAAATAAAAAAATTATAAAACAAGATACAATGAAAACCTATCCATGCTAAAGTTAGTGGCTGTATATCTTAAAATCAAGAAGAATAAGAACAATGGTAAGAGAAAACGGTAAAAAACAAGTCAAAAAATTACTACCTTGGTCCAACTAGCAGTAAGAAGTTTGACAAGTTTCCCACGAAGAGTTTCTCCCATTTATCTTGTTGGAGAAAAATATCTTTGCCTTGGTTCAAAACTCAAATAATCACTTAATTTTTGTAGATGAAGATGGGGCAAAGAGAGACAGAGAATTCCCCTTCTGGATATTTACAGTCAAATCAATAATAAAAGTAACTAAATAAGGCAAGGGAATGATGCACTGTAAGTACAGAGCATGGTCTTTGTGCTGTAAATAATTTGTTAAGAATCTGACCACGATTCTAGGTTTAAGGTAAAAGCGGATAAGCTTAAAGGAGATGTGAGAGGCAAACTTTTTGTTTTACACAGATGGTGACAAGTGCCTGGAACGCACTACCAAAGGACGTGGCGAAAGGCAGATACAATAGCAACATTTAAGAGACATCTTGACAGATATATGAATAGGCAGGGAATGGAAGGATATGGACTCTCCAGAGGCTAAAGGTTTTAAGCTAGAAAGGTTTTAAAGTTTAGAAAGGCATCATGTCGGTGCAGTCTTGGTGGGCCGAAGGCTGTACGGCTCTTTGATTTGAACAAATGATCATGGATCATATGCTTTGCTCAGCTTCTAGTCTGCTCAATGCAGACTAGCAGGAAAAGGTCTATTGCCCAACTCAATTGATTTAACTATAAGCCATTTACTATTAATCCCACTTTAACTCCTAAACCTTTACAAGTTCAGTGATGCCCTGCACTATGAACCATGCTTCTTTATGTGATGTGCACTTTTATTTGTTTTTTTAAAAAAGACAAATTAATGACACACAGGGAGGAAGAAAGTCAATCATCAGTTAAGATGACAAATTTCCTCAGCCTTCACTCAACTAAATTTCACTTCCTTCCCTCTGTCAAGTTCTGGCATACCACAAAGAGAAAGACTAGTATAAGTATGCAAACTAGACATGGAGTGAACATTAATCCGAAATCAACAGCAGCAGAAACAGCTTTTACAAGAAACTGTGCCAAGGGTAACAAGATGTACTGAAGCATTAATGACACAATTGTAGCTGCATAATTTAATTCAATAGTTTCAACAAATGAACTATGTTTTCCACATAACTTGTTCTAAGACTAATTGATTTATTTACAGAGGCAAGAAAGGATTTCTATCCAGAAAAAGCAATTCCTTGAGATTGAAATATCGTGCTTAGAATGTTCCAGCATTGCACAGCTACAGAATGTATCAAAACTACATAATTCCAAAACAAAGGCAAAATATTGTGGATACCGGAGCTCTGAAATACAATGCAAAGCACTGGATAAACTCAGCAGGTTTACCAGTATCTGTGGAAAGAGGAAAACAGAGTTAACGTTTTAAGTCCAAGGTTACTCTTCTTTGGAATTACTGACAAATATTTAAACAGAAACATTAATCACTCTCAAATCAGAAAAACAAAACTACTTCACTGAGCTGAAAACTATGATGTGCATTAATTAGAAATATTTTAATAACATTTATTTGAGTTTGGATTGTTGAATTTGAACTAGTGATACGTGGGTATGAAGAGGTTTAATGGTGAACATACAAGGTCTTCAACAGCTATGGTAATTTCATTTAAAATTTCTTTTAAATTCCTAGAGAGTAATGGGTTTTTGTTTCTATTGGGAGAATTTTAAAAAGCAAACAAGGTAAACAGTTGTGCATTAATTTCCAATTGGGATTGCTTGTTTTTTGAATTGGAAGAAACACTGACAAATTGGGGAAATTTTTTTTTGAACAAAATTTCAGGTTGGGCAGTTCTATAAAAGTCATGGCTGAGCTGGATAGGTAAAAGCAGTTGTTCCTAAGTAAGGGAGAAGATAGTTTAGAGTTGTTAAAAATAGGTTAACCTCTGTGTGAGGAATTCTGGACAAGTTGTAGAGCAGAAGGGTTTGGTTAAACTCTAAGGGGCTCTTTGAGAAAAATAAAGCCCAGTTGTTTGAAAGCTCCAGAAACACGCTATCAGATTCTCAAGACTGGAAATTAAAGCCACAGTTAAACTAAGCCCTAGAGGGGTGGTAAAGAAAGGATTTCTCCCCGATACGTGAAAGATTAGTCCCCAGAACAATGGGATCATATTTTCACCATGTTTCAAAATCATTAAACATTGTTGTAAATATTTTGGTTTATTTTATTTTATAATGCAAAATAATTGAAGACAAGTTCAGATTTATTGTTAAAATCAAATCTGTAAGATTGCACGAGGAGGTTTCAGTGAGTTACCATCTTGCTAAACCCAAAATAAAAACAGGCCAGATTTTAATCTGGAATCTGACATTGTCTAGTAATAATGTCAGCTGGGATTACAGAAAACAGTCAACTCTATTTCTCTTTCACAGATGCTGCCAGACCTGCCGATGAAAGCAGATCCTGTTTTACTACACAATTCCAAGCCTTAGGCAAGTGACACTGCCCTACAGCCTAGGCTTTAAGAAATTTTCAATATTAACAGTTGTATTAGTGAACACTAACCAGACATGATACTGCTGCTGATAATTTTTCCTCCAAGGGATGTAGCTAGTGACTTTGGTACTACAGTGATGATGCTCCCGCTCGTAGTTTTCATGTAGGTAGTAGATCCTGTAGATGCTGCCATACGAGCACTGATGGTGGGATTCAATGTAGGGCGTGTATAGGTAGTTTGGGTACCTATAACCATGAAAAAAAAATCACATTTTTTAATAATATATTTTATGAATTCTATTGCAATTTAAAAATCGTAATTAACTACAATAATTATTTAAACAGAAGCATCAATCCTTCACAAATAAGACAACTCAAGTCACAAGAACAGAACAAATGAAATAACCCAGTCACATACTTCTTTAATGTTCTGTACTTCAAGTCTTACCTGTCGGTGTAGTAACCAACTTTGTTGTCATAATGGCACCATTGCTGCTAACCACCATAATAGGCGAAGTGCTAGTACTAGGCATTGTTGCTGGTTTTGGCAGGATTTTGCTTGGCTGCATCTGTTGGGTTATAATCTTGACCCCTGTCAAAAACATAAGCTACAATGAAGGTAGTCAGCAACAGACTCAACAACATGGTTTAATATAACACCCTCTCCCATTCCCAAGTACAGATTTAATAATGATGACTAACTTGTAGCGCAATAAAAAGCTTGAACAAGAAATGCAATGATGTCTGTTGAAAAGCACTACACCACAAAGAACAAAGAACAAAGTATATTTCAAACATTATCTGACAAAGACAGAAAACTGTTATTACCCATCCTGTAAATCTGATGGTTAACCAACTGGAAATAAGGTATGGCAAAAATCACAGGACAAATGACCAATATATTCACAGCAAGAAATGCTTTGTCTACAATAAGTGGCTTTGACCGTGCTTTAAATTTAATGAGCTTTTTGTAAAAAAAGTTCTGGTGTTCTGCCACTCTCAGACAAGCTGAACCTGGAGCCAGTTTCCAACTGATGGTAGACATTTATGGCTCAGCTGAAGGAACTGCATTTGAATGCAGAACGCATGCACCTAAAAGGGAAACTGCCAACAGTAATCATCGGAAACTTCCTTCATTCTGAAGCCATATAACTTTTAAAAATCATGTAAGCAGCAAAATGAAAAAGCTGTGCTGTTGGGATAAAATTAAAGGACTTGTTTTGGTAGAGTCATAGAGGTTAACAACACAGAAAAAGGACCTTCAAGCCCAGTGTTGGTCAAAAACCACCACCTAACTATTCTAATCCCATTTTCTGACACTTGGCCCATAGCTTTGTATGCCTTGGCATCGCGAATGCACAACTAAATACTTCTTTGATGTTATGTAGCTTTCTGCCTCTCCCACCCTTACACGCAGTGAGTTTCAGATTCCCACCACCCTCTAGGCAGAAAAAAAAAGTCCTCAATTCCTCTGAACCTCCTGTCCCTGGCCTTTTACATCTATGGTCCCTGGTCACTGATCCTTCACCAAGGAGAAAAGATTTTTCCAATCTACACTGTCTATGTCCCCTGATGATTTTATACATCTTAATCATGTTCCCCGCTTCAGTGTCCTGTGCAGTAAGGAAAACAATCCCAGTTGAGCCAATCTCTCTTCATAACTAAAAGTCCCCAGCCCAGGCAGTATTGGGAGAGTTTTGGCAGGGGGGAGCGGAAGAGGTGAGGAGGAGAGGATGTTGATGATAATATCTTGATTGACCTATAAAATAGCATTAAAATAAGACAAAGAATAGCAGATTGGAAACAAACAAAAGAAGGGTCACTGGACTTGAAATGTTAATTCTCCTTCCAGCATCAACTTAATCTGTCTCCTCTTACTGCCCACCCGCGGTGCTCATTGCCTTCACCTCCTCCGTTTGTGAGCATCACATCACCACTGCCTCTCTGTTCACAGAATGCACAGCTCTACTTGTTTCCCAATCATGAACCTTGTTACCATGCATCAAGCAGGGGACATCAGAAACCAGGAGTTGTCAGTTATGAACAAGTATATAGGAAGTTTGTCTTGAAAAATCAAAGAGAAGACTGAATGTACATTTACACTGAGGACTGAATTACATCTGGATTGTCCCACTCCAATCCCTTAAAAGGACTAACCTGAAGAACAGTGAGTGTCAGCAGCCAATTTGCACACAGCAGGATCACACAAACAATGAGATGAATGGCAAATAATTTATTTTAGCACTTGTTTAAACAATAAATATTAATGAGGACAACAATGAGGCATCCCTGCTCTTCTTTGAAATAGTGTCACGGAAGCTTTGAATCTCTATTTGAGAGGGTAGACCAAACCTTGGTTCAACACCTCATTTAAGAAATGGCATCTCCAACAATGTAGGATCCCCTCAGTACTGTACTGAGTGCGCTAGCCTAGACTCCAAGTTTCTGGACTGGAACCTGAACCAATGTCCCACAAATTCAGACGCAAATCTTCTACCCAGAAACACAGCATCTCTTATACAATTCTACACAAAACTGACAGGTTTTTGTCTTGCTTTTTGTTCATCATCCTGAGGATACCATCCGTGCAACTGAGGTCTTACTCGAGGTAGTCCCCATCACAGTGCACACCTGAAATAACAATACCCTCCGACATTATCTTGGGGTCCGGGGCCAGAGCACTAATAAGTTCTCCTAGTACTAAATAAAATCAAGAAGGATGAAAAGAACTAATGTCAATCAGCTACTCTGCCCAAGATGAACTAGGAGCTTCAGTATATATCTTTCCTTTAAATTCTCTCATGACTGCCTGGCCAGCATTTACTGCCCATCCAGGAGGATGGTAGTGAACAATCTTGAACCATTGCAGTCTGCGTGCTGTACGTTGACCAACAATGCCATTAAGGAGGAAATTCCAGGATGTTGACCTAACAATACTGAAGGAACTGCAATATGTTTCTAGGTCAGGATGGTGAGTAGCTTGGAGAGCAATTTGCTTGTGGTGGTGTTTCTATGTATCTGCAGCCCTTATCTATCAAATGGTAGTAGTCATGAGTCAGAAGGTGCTGCCAAAGAAGCCTTGGTGAATTTCTGTAAATGCATCTGAGATTGTGCACACAGCTACTTCGGAGCATCGGTGGTGGGGGGAGTGGATATTTGCACCAATTAAGCAGCTAATTCGTTTTTGATGGTGTGTACTTTCTTGAGATTGTTGGAGCTTCACTCATTCAGACAAGTGAGGAGTATTCTATCATACTCCCACTTGTGCCTCGTAGATGGTAATCAGGTTTTAAGGATTCAGGAGATGAATTACTTGTTGCAGGATTTCTAGCCTGCTCTTGCAGCTACTGTGGTTATATGCTATTTCAGTTCAGTTTCTGGTCAGTGGTAACCCACAGAATGTTGATAATGGGGATTCAGTGACAGTAATGCATTTGAGTTTCATCGAGTGGTGATTAGATTGTCTTTTATTGGGAATGGTCATTGCCTGGCATTTGTGTGGCATGCATATTAGTTGTCATTTCTTAGCACAAGCCTGGATACTGCCCATGTCTTGTTGCTTTTGGACATGAAATGCTTCACCATCTGAGGAATCGCAACTTGTGAACATTGCGCAATCATTGAGAAACATCCACACTTCTAACGTAGTAATGGAGGGAAGGCTGCTGATGAAGCAACTGAAGAGGGTTGGATATAGGACACTACCCGGAGGAATTCCTGCAGAGATATCCTGCAGCAGAGATGATTGACCTCCAACAACCACAACATCATCCTTTTTACCAGATATGACTCCAACCAGCAGAGAATTTTCACTCTTGTTTGCATTGACTGCAAGGCTGTAATGAGGGCATGAGTTGAGCAGCCCTGGCACAACCTAAACTGGACATCAGCGAGCAAGTTATTGTTGAGCAGGTGCTACGTGGTAGGGCTGTTGATGACATCTTCCATCATTTTACCGATGATGATCGTGGGTAGAATGCTGGGGGGTGGCAAAGTAATGGCTGGTTTGGTGTGCCCTGCTACAGGATATTTTCCACACTGTCAGGTAGATGCCAGTACTGTAGATGTACTGGAACAGCTTTGCGAGGTGTGCAGCATGTTTGGAGCACAAACCTACTATGGCCTGAATATCCTCTAGGCTTATAACTTTTTTTTTTAATTCATTCACAGGATGAGGGCATCGCTGGCCAGGCAGCATTTATTGCCCATCCCTAATTGCCCAAAGGGCAGTTCAGAGTCAACCACATTGCTGTGGGTCTGGAGTGACACGTAGGCCAGACCAGGTAAGGATGGCAGTTTCCTTCCCTATAGGACATTACTGAACCAGGAGGGTTTTTCCAACAACCAACAATGGATTCATGGTCATCAGTAGACTCTTAACTCCAGATTCCACCATCTGCCATGACGGGATTCGAACCCAGGTCCCAAAACATTATCTGGGTCTCTGGATTAACAGTCCAGTGATAATACCACTAGGCCATCGCCTCCCTCATTTGAAGTATCCAATCTTCCAACCATTTCTTGACATCATATTGAGTGAATCAAATTGGTTGAAGACTGGCACCTGGAGACTTCTGCAGGAGGTTGAGATGGATCATCAACTTACGACTTCTGGTTGAAGATAGTTGTGAAAGTTTCAGTCTTATCTTTTACACTTGTGCTGGGCTCTCCAACCATTGCCGATTGGGATAATTCTGGAGCCTCTTCCAGTGAGTTGTTTAATTGTCCGCATCATTCACAATTGGATGTGGCAGGACTGCAGAGCTTAAATCTGATCCAATGGCTGTGGGATTGCTAAGCTTTGTCTAATCTTCACTTTTACGCTGTCTGGCTTGCAAATAACCCTGTTTTGCAGCTTTACCAGGTTCAAACCTCATTTTCAGGTATGCCTGGTGAGGCTCCTGACGTGCCTTCCTGCACTTTTCTTTAAATCAGGGTTGATCCCCTGACTTAAGGGTAATGGTATATCATTTGGTATATTTGAGAATGATTTTAACGACCAAGGCCAAAGTGACGAAATTACAGCTCAAAGGCCACATGCAGCTTTCAAGCTTTGGCAATCCAACCTTCAAATCACCAGCAACTTTGGTCCTTCTAAGTTGCATTGCTTAGACACAATCTGTAACTGAATTTCATGGGTCCAACGGCTTGTCACAGGCTGTTATTAATGCTGCTGATTCAGCGAAAAATAAATCCTAAATTTCAACAACAGGTCCTTTTATTCATTCACAGGATGAGGGCATCGCTGGCTTACCCATCCCTCAATTGCCCAGAGAGCAGTTTAAGAGTCAACCATATTGCTGTGGGTCTGGAGTCACATGTAGGCCAGACCAGGTAAGGATGGCAGTTTCCTTCCCTAAAAGAGCATTTGTGAACCAGATGGGTTTTTCCCACAATCAACAATGGATTCATGGTCATCATTAGACTCAACTCCAGATTCCACCATCTGCCGTGGCGGGAATCAAACCCAGGTCCACAAGTCATTACCCGGGCCTCTGGATTAATAGTCCAGGTATATTAGTACCAGCAGGTAAGAATGGGTGCACATCGATGGAATTAAGCATTTAAGCTCTTTATAGCCCATAATGGGCATCTAAATGAGCACCTCCCCCTCAAAAAAAAACAAAAAGGTTCAATATTCTTGTATCAAGTTATAACGGAACCTCATTCAGCTTTGCATTCACAGATACAGACTTTTTTTTTTAAAAACGCCAAAACATGGGAAGGTGCTCCACATGGTTCTGAAAGGGTGCTGTCTCCTTTCTTTTATAATGTCGTTCCTGCAGCAATTCTGTACTTTCAAAAAAAAAAATTTAAATATAAACAAACAGTCTCACCCTTTTTTTTCTCCCCCCACATTGTATGTTTGATGTGGGTGTTGCTGCCTCAACCAGCACTTATTGCCCATTGCTAACTGCCCTGGGGAAATTGGTGGGGCGTTGTTTTCTCTAACTGCTGTAGCTTTTGTGGTTTAGGGTCAACCACAATGCTGCGAGGGAGAGAGCTCCAGGATTTTGACATAACAATAATGAATGAACAGCAATATGCCTCCAAATCAGGATGGTAAGTGACTTGGAGGAGAATCTGCAGATGGTGATGCTCTGATGTATTGGCTGCCCTTGTCCTTCTGGATAAAGGAGGCTACGTTTGCAAAGTGTAAACCTTGATGAGTTACTGCAGTGCATTTTGTGGATGACACTGTGTGCTGATGGTCTAAATAGTGAATGTGTTGCAATCAAGTGACTGCTTTGCTCTGGATCGTGTTCATCTTCTTGAGTATTGTTGAAGCTGCGCCCATTCAGACAAGTGGAAAGGAGTCCATCACATCCTGACCTATGACTGTAAATGGTGGACAAGCACTGGGACACAGGAGGGCAGTTTCCTACCACAGAATTCCTAGCCTCAGACCTGCTCTTGAACCCACAGTATATTTGGTCTATTCAGTTTCTGGTCAATGGCAACTCCCAGGATACTGGTGGTTTTAGCAATAGTAATGTCACTGAACATCAGGGGGCGACAGTTGGATTCTCTGGTGCCAATCTGGCAATTGATGAAGGGTATATAATGGGGAATGCTGTGAATTACCAGTTGAAGTAGCTAAGGTCAATCCCTTAATGCCTTCATATCATACGTGCAGCAAGTGACTGTTTTAAAATCCTGGAATTCTCTTAACAGCACTGTGGCTGACTCTACACTGCAAGGACTGCAGTGATCTAAGGTAGCTCACCACCACTTTCTCTTGAGCAATTCAGAATGGGAAATAAATAATGGCCTAGCCAGTGATGCCCACATCCCACGCACAAATAAAGGTATTTTTAAAACCTTACAATTATGCAACATAAGTTAGAAAAGAATAAAATAATTAACAAAAAACTCACTCAGCCTTGTCAAGATCAAAGCCCAGAGAGGTAGAAACATGCTGCAAGTGTTGCAATATGTAGTTATGTTATATACATAAACACCACAGAAGCTACTGAGATTCATTTTAGTAGCACACTGGAAAAAATAAACAGATTCCATTTCCAGATAACTACTGAAACAAAAAAATCATGCACGTAAATCCATGTTTTTTCCACTGCTGGGTATCTCAAGTTCTCCTCACAAACAACATGTATATAAAATCTTCACTGCATTTTCAACTTACCTGACTCCTGTTTGATCTGAATGGTAGGTTTGACACCAGGTGATGTTTGAGACTGTTGGGACTGCTGCTGTGGAGATTGTGACATTTGCTGCTGCTGTTGCTGTTTGGGAAACTGCGTCAAGATCTGAGTTGGGGAGCCCATAAGTGCTTTGGGGGACTGAAGCCTGGCTGCGGTAACTTTAACTGCAGTACCAGATGCACCTTTCATAAAGACAAAACAATCAGCATTTGTTTTATAAAGTGCTTTGACTAAAGTTGTGCCTGGCATCCTGACTTAGGATTTCTTAAAATTACCAACAATTTCCTCTTCTTCTTCTGGTAGTCCCTTGAAGGATAGGGGTGCTCGCTGCCAAGAATGGCTTTGGCCTTGGCCTTGCATGTGGAGTCCTTTAGTGTGTGGAAACTGTTGTGCTACAGCTATCACTGGATTCTGGCTAACCAGGATCTCTCCTGTTCTTATCACCTGCTGTTGGCGTATTGGAGGAATTTGCAAATTAACCCTGTCATGAACACAGCTTTCACAGCCATTGAGTCCTGCAGTGGGACTTGAACCCAGAGCTTCTGGCTCAGAAACAGGGACAGTGCCACAAGACCTCCACTCACAATATAATACTTGTAATACAAATTTACTCCAGCGACTTGAACAATTGGTCCAGGTTGAACAGTACTGAGGGGTTCCTGCACCATCAATCTTTCCGATAAAATCTTAAACCAAAGCTTCTTCTCAGATGAAGATGAACTATCCCATGAGACTTTTGAAAGGACAAGGGAGTTCCTCCTGGTGCCCTGGTCTACATTTCTCCCTCAATGACAAAAACAAATTTTCTGGCCATTATCTCAATGCTGTTTGAAGACATTGTTGTGTGTAAGATGGCTGCTGAATGTTTCCAACTTTGTAAGAATGATGATATTTCAAAAGTATCAAATGGACTGCGAGTGCTTTGGGGAATCCTGCAATTGGAAAGGTGCATTAAAAACGCAAGCTTTTTCTTCTGACCTGCAAGATACTGACAGGCATTAAATGACAGTAAAAAGAAGCTTGCTGGACTATAGCTGAAATCACGAGGTGCAGTCAGTTCAGGTCACACCAATTTGAATGTGAGTGCCTATTCTTAACCATAGCAAGCCAAGACAGTGCTCGTGTGAAAAACTAAAGACAACAGCATTACGATATTGCAAAGAACAGGTTGCATAATTTAACAAATTTAAATTGTTGAGAAAAGGAAACACCTTCCAGAGTTGCAGTTAAATCCAAATCCAAGACCTTATAACTCAGAGGTGTTACTCAGGCAAGTCAGACCCTTGCAGGATCTTAAACAGCTCAAGTTTCATTCTTATTTTTGTGATTTACTTCAACTTCAACATATTTCAATATTTGGTATAAAAATGGGGTGAATTGTTTTAGAAAGGAAACACAATGGTGAAGATAAATTTCTTAAACCAGTACATTCACTTCATTACCTTGAGCTATTGTTGACATCACAACAGAAGATGTTGACGAAATCATTGATGTGGCAGCAGCAGTGACGGACGTGGATGAAGGCGAGGGGGTACTGCCAGCAGTAAAAGGAGGCTGAGTGGCAGTAATGACCACTGGTTGTCTCTGAGTCGCAGTGGTGATGACTGACGTTGGCACAAGCTTGGTGACAGCTGCATAATTGTGAGACTTGGACAAAATATTGGGTACAAATGTTGAGCTTGGTGATGTGGTTACTATTATCACCTATTTTTGAACAAACACAAAATAAGAATCTTTACGGGATTAATCTCAACTGCTGTCAGAATAATGTCACTGCAATAAAATTCGTAATCAGATAGGACTTATTCAGCCAACAGAAAACACGTCTTAACTTACCTTCTGTGTAGTTGTATTTGTCGTTTGGGTGGTGGGCTTGGTAAAAGTAATTTTCACTGGTGACATATGCGAGGGAATGGAGTTTGCGATGCTCTGCATGATGTTGCTTACTTTTGGACTGCTGCCAACAGGAACTGCAATTGACTTGGCGACTGGTGTAACTGCCTTGGGAACCTCTTTAAGCACCACGGGGGAAGAACTGGATGAATTTGTACGCCTGCGCTTGCGAGGTTTGTCATCTTCATCAGCACAGCTAACGCCTAGTTTAAAAAGGATATGTTATCAATAACGGAGATGCAGAAGAAGCAAATTACTTTTCTTGGAAGATTTAATCATTTATCCATCCCATGTCCATAGGACCATAAGACATAGAAGCAGAAATTAGGCAATTCCACCCCATCAAGTCTACTCTGCTGTTCAATCGTGGTTGATTGGTTTCTCAACACCATTCTCCCACTTTCTCCCCATAACCCTTGATCCCCTTGACAATCAAGAACGTCTCTCTCTCTGTCTGTCTTTAATATACTCAATGATGTGGCCTCCACGGACTTCTGTGGAAATCAAGTCCATAGATTCACCACTCCCTGGCTGAAGAAGTTTCTCTTTATCTCCATTCTAAAGGATCTTCCCTTTACTTCAAGGCAGGGCCCTTGGGTCTTAGTCTCTCCTACCAATGGAAACATCTTCCCAATGTCCACTCTGTCCAAGTTATTCAGTATTCTGCAAGTTTCAATTAGATACACCCCCACCAACCTTCTAAACTCCGAGTTTAGACCCAGAGTCCACAAACGTTCTTCATATGTTAAGCCTATCATTCCTGGGATCATCCTCGTGAACCTCCTCTGGACCAGTCCAGGGCCAATACATCCTTCCTGAGGTATGGGACCCAAAACTACTCACAATACTCTAAATGTGGTCGGATCAGAGCCTTATAAAGCCTCAGAAGTACATCCCTGCTTTTCTATTCCAGTACTCTCAAAGTAAATGCTAACATTGCATTTGCCTCCCTAACCACCAACTCAATCTGCAAGTTTACCTTAAGAAAATCCTGGACTAGAACTCCGAAGTCCTTTTGCACTTCAGATTTCTGAATTTTCACACCATTTAGAAAATAGTCCATGCCTCTATTCTTTCTACCAAAGTGCATTACCTCACCTTCCCATTTTTATTCCATCTGTCACTTCTTTACCCACCTTCCTAACCCGTCCAAATCCTTCTGCAGCCTCCCTGGCTCCTCAATAATACCTGCCTTGCCAACTATACTTGTACCATCTGCAAATGTAGCCAGAATGCTCTCAACTTCCTTCATCTAGAAGATTCTTGTATACAGTGAAAAGTTGTGGTCCCAACACCGATCCTTGTAGATACTAGTCACCAGGTGTCATCCTAAGAAGCCAACCTTCTATCCACGCTAGTACTTTGCCTCAAACATCATGGGCGCTATCTTACTCAGCAGCCTCCTGTGCGGCACCTTGTCAAAGGCCTTCTGGAAGTCCAAGTAGATAACATTAATTGGCTCTCCCTGATCCAACTTGCTCATTACCTCCTCAAAAAATTCTAACAGATTTGTCAGGCACGACCTCCCCTTGATGAAACCATGCTGACTTCGATCTATTTTACTATACACTTCAAAATATTCAGAAATCTCATCCTTCACAATGGATTCCAAAATCTTTAAACGACCGAGGTGAAGCTAATCAGCCTGAAATTTCCCATCTTTTGCCTGACTCCCTTCTAAAAACGGGATTAAATTAGCAATTTTCCAGTCCTCTGGGACCCTCCCTGACTCCAGTGATTCCTGAATGATCACCACTAATGCCTCCACTATCTTTTCAGTTATCTCCTTCAGATCCCTGGGGTGAAGTCCATCTGGCCCAGATGATTTATCCACCTTCAGACCTTTCAGTTTTCTAGCACCTTCTTTTTGGTGATGGCCACCATACTCACCTCTGCCGCCCTGACTCTCTTGAAATTTTGGGATGTTACTCGTGTCTTCCACCGTGAAGACTGACGCAAAGTATTTATTCAGTTCCTCAGCCACTTCTTTGCTCCCCATTACGACTTCTCCAGTGGTTCAATGTACACTTTTGCCTCTCTTTTGCCCTTTAGATATCTAAAGAAACTCTTGCAATCTTCTTTTATATTACTGGCTAGCTTACCCTCATATTTAATTTTCTACCTCCTTATTTCTTTCTTCATTGTGCTCTGTTGGCCTTTGTAGGATTCCCAATCCTCTGGCTTCCCATTGCCCTTCACCACATTGTATGCTTACTCCTTTACTTTTAGACTGTCCCTGACTTCCCTTGTCAGCCATGGTTACCTCCTCCTTCCTTTAGTACGTTTACCTTTCCTAGGGATGAATTTTTGCCGTGTCTTCTGAATTACTCCCAAAAATTCCTGCCATTGCTGTTCCACTGTCTTTCTTGCCGGGCACCTCTCTGTCAATTCTGGTCAGCTCCTCCCTCATACCTCTATAGTTGCCTTTATTCAACTGTTAATGTCTGTCACGTCCCTCACTTCTTTGCGTGAATGCGTATTCCTCATTTGAAAACCTGATGGCAAGTGCAGCAAAGCTTTCAACCATAAAAGCAATTGAATCCAGGTATGATCCTGCCCTCGTCCAACATCCACAAACAGCAGTTTCTCCCAAGCGGAAGTACATAAACAAGGAAAAAAAAAAGACTGGGAATCCATTTTCCTCCTCACTCCCCAAGCTTTGGTCATGGGTCACTGAAGCCAATTCAGATGGCCTAGCAGAAATCAGTTAATGTCAGCACAATTCAAGGATTAAAACAGTGTCATCATCTACAACAATACATATCACATTTATTCACCAAACATTCAGGGGAGTTTTTCCTCATTGTACAATTACCATCTATTAATCCCACAGAATCTTATTCTCCACGAGCAAAACTTAGCCAGGACGGCTGGTAAATTTGGTTTGTTTTTGAACACTATAGTGGACCCAAGCCATTGAAGCAGGCAATGTTGCATTCACTTAATGTCTCAGCCAAATCATGCTTCTCTGATAATGCAACAGTGCCACCATCTGGACACATCTGCCAATGTGGTATACTGCATCCGCTGTACCCGGTGTGGCTTCCTCTACATCGGGGAAACCAAGCGGAGACTCGGGGACCGCTTTGCAGAACACCTACGCTCGGTTCGCAACAAACAACTGCACCTCCCAGTCGCGACCATTTCAACTCCCCCTCCCATTCCTCAGACGACATGTCCATCCTGGGCCTCCTGCAGTGCCACAACGATGCCACCCGAAGGTTGCAGGAACAGCAACTCATATTCCGCTTGGGAACCCTGCAGCCCAATGGTATCAATGTGGATTTCACAAGTTTCAAAATCTCCCCTCCCCCCACCGCATCCCAAAACCAGTCCAACTCGTCCCTGCCTCCCTAACCTGTTCTTCCTCCCACCTATCCCCTCCTCCCACCTTAAGCCGCACCTCCATCTCCTACCGACCAACCTCATCCCGCCCCCTTGACCTGTCCGTCCTCCCTGGACTGACCTATCCCCTTCCTAACTCCCTACCTACACTCACCTTTCCTGGCCCCATCCCCGCCTCTTCGACCTGTTTGTTTCCTCTCCACCTATCCTCTCCTCTATCCCTCTTCTATCCGCCTCCCACTCTCTCCCTATTTATTTCAAAACCCCCTTCCCCCTCCCCCTTTTCTGATGAAGGGTCTAGACCCGAAACGTCAGCCTCTCTGCTCCTATGATGCTGCTTGGCCTGCTGTGTTCATCCAGCCCTGCACCTTGTTGTCTCGGATTCTCCAGCATCTGCAGTTCCTACTATCTCGGACTATGACATATGAACTTTTTAAGATTACTTCAACTTGAGGTGAAGCTAATCCCACAGTGTTGTTAGTTAAGGATTACCAGAGATTACGACTCCTTGTACTCAACTTCCAATATCACACTCCTTAAAATATAGTCACCTGCAATGTACAGCAAAGCTCCCTGGTAAAGACAAAATAAGTTTGATGCCATAATTTTAGTATTAAAAATATAAATAAATTCAGGCTGCGATTTGGAGTGTATGCAATTTCCGGGAGCAACTCGATTTTTCAATTTTGAAGGAACCAGTCTGGATAAGCACAGATGTAACATCAACACAAAGATACAGATTAGATGTCATTGAAAGCACTACATTGGCCAACCTACCACAAGTAACGACAAAAGAAAACTAATTATACAAATATAAACACTAAAAGCATGTAACGCAGCTTAATATATTAAACAAATGCACGAGTATCATGTGATCCTCCAGATATCTTGACTAAAGCACAAAGGATATCTGCAAAGTTTCAACAAGCTGGACCTTACTAATACTGATAGAGTTGAGCTCCTCCCCCAAATCAAAAGCTTGTCAATTTTTTCTCATTTGCCCATGGACCCAATGTGTATTTCTGGAACCAGTTTTATTTCAGCATTCCCACTCAAGGATATCTCACAGCAGGCAAAAATTCTCATTCACAGTGAGTGGACTACAGATTAGAGCATTAACAGAGCACTTGATCTTATGCAATCTTAAACCCAAAATACAAAAGTGAAGTGGGCAAAAGTGCTAGTTTCATGTATTAATTTTAAACAGAACAAATGGCACTTACTTTTGACATAAACCGTGCTACCACTTGGCAGCACAACAACATTGGAAGCTGGACTTGCAGGTCTGGGAGATTTGACCGTTGCTACACTTCCACCAGGTACTGTGGTTGATGCTGGAGTAGCAGTGGTGCTTGTGTAGGAGTAACAGACAATCACTAGAAACAAAAAGTCATGCTTTTCTTTTATCTCAAACAAAAACTTTGCTGGAAGTCACAACCATCACAAAATTATATCTTGTCAATTTTAGTGAAGTCTCTAAGAGTACTGTAATAGCTTTCATTTGATGCCCCCATGTGGTTAAAGTTTGCACTGTGACCAGCACGATTACTGTGTTGTAGGAAAGAAATTTAATTTAGCAACACAGAGTCCTCAAATCATTGAAAATGACTGATAATGCAAATTATCAACAGCGTAGAAAGCATAACATGTTCCACAACTGACATCTTCACCTGTAGCCAAAACAGTGACAGGTAAAAATCAGATTCTGAATATGTTCCATAATTGGTGACTGCCCTTTGGTCAGCAGACCTCTTCTGTAATAATCCACTGTCTTTCCATTAAACATGCAACTGATACAAATCTTCACTTGGTGAAGAGACTGGGGTGATTTTGTAAAAGATGATATCTTTTTATTTTTCTGTATGTTTAATTGAGGACTGAACTGGGAAAAGGACTATTTTGAAAAGCAAGAATTGTGGAAAGGATTACTGCATTCATTGTAAGTGCTATTTGTTCAGGCAGTGGAGGAAGTTACCATACAAGCTGGAGGCGGCAGTGTGGGGGAAATCAAGCCAGCGACAAGTACTTGATTGGTCTGTGGAAAGATGGCCACTTCTCAATGACAAAGGGTCTTTGGCTGCCCAACACTGCCAGTGGCTGCCAATTTGCTGAACAGCCATTAAACCTCTGAACATGCCTTTCTCAATGAAACAAAACAAAAACCTCCAGCTTGAAGATAATTTATTTCCTCTCATCAGTTGCTGTAAGCTGTGTTTTTTTAAAAACGAATAAATCAGAGACTTCATAGATGTGAACGAGTCCCCTTGTGCCTCTTGCAAGGAAGCAAAAGTACTTGTAGAAGCAAGATTGAGGAGCAGGACTTGACAAGTCAAGGACTTTAAGAAAGTCTCAACAAACCCCGTGCACAGGATTCACTGAATTGCCTTCCCAGTCTTCCCTCCTCCCATAACACCCATGTTATTCTTTTTGTGTTTGTCTGTGGTTATTAGAACCTGAGCAGTTTTGATAGGCCAAATGGCCTCCTTCTGCACTGTAACGATTCTCTGTGTATGTAGGCAGAGTTTTAATTAAAATTATATATTCATGGTTCAAAATATTTTAACTGCAGCTATAATCTATTCATTTGTACTAACTAGTAATTCTTTTAAAGTATACAAATCTGCTCCGTTGTTTCTATCAGCCCGAGCATAAAAAGACAGGCGGGGGGGTGGTGGGGGAGTCTTGCGTACTTTTACCAAATCTTTTTGAGTCATGACAATTTGGACTGTCTTGACGTACAGGGCTGAAACGTCAACCTGAGAAAAGCAGATATCCAAAGACCGGGAGGTTGTGAAATATGGTCTGCACAAGAAAGTTCAGCTGGGGAGAGCTAAAGAGCAATAAAGGAATTCTCAGTTTGGCAGAAGATAGTGAATATAAAGAAATAATAATAAAATTGAATTGGCCATATTCTAAGTCTTACGAACCTTTTGGAGGAGGCAAATTAAGGAATTTATAAGCATGTAGATTAGTGGAATGTAGATCTAAGGCAAGGAGAAGAAAATAGTGTTTGACAACTTGAAAATGAAAATTGACAATGGGAGACTGTTATGAGAAAATTAAGAAACTGCAAGGCATGAGGTATGAAGAAATAAACAGATGATCTGCCCTTGAGCAGATCACGGCTACTATCATTCTAAGCTGACTAAATTTTCAATGAATTCCAGAACTATTCAGCCAGCCCGCTGTACAATCTATCATCATACAAACACATCTCTTTCTAAATAGCAAGGATTACATTCCTTAGTTTTAAGGAGAATTCTGAAGATTTCCATAGTTTTGACAGAATGCGGAAAAAAATTGATTTATTTCAAATTTATATGGAGACCTGGACCTTTTTTCTTAAAAAGGAACGATCAGTAGAAGGTAACATTGGGACCTTTGAAGTGAGATAACTATTCAAAAGAGCCTTATTAAAAATATCAGAAATAAAGATTTGGCCCTTTTACCCTCAACAACCACCTTAGATAATCAATCCTCAGTAAAAGATCACTGTTTCCATTTTAAAGATCCTGAGCAGTTGGTATGGCTTGGTTGCATTCTGATAAACCTCTATTCATTCACTGCTACCTTGTACATCCATTGCCTATTCATGAGACTATTATAAAAACTGCTAACACAGCTCATTTACTCCTAAACAGGTGTCCCTTAAATTCATACATTAAATAGCCCGTGTGATGTCTTCCTTTCTGATACCTTAAAGCTGTTTCTGGAGCTTTTTTCTTCCTTATGTCTGGGCCTACTTAGGACTTTTCTTTCCCCCTCCCCCCCACCCCGAGTGTTTTGGAGACTGAATATTATATGCACTGCTGATATTAGGGGCCTTTTCCCTCTAAATTACCTGCTTCTCTCTCTCTCTCTGAAAGAAACATACATACTCCTAAACCTTTGGATGATTCTATTTTTCTGAAAGAACTTCTGTCTCCCAGTGTCATAGGACCCACTGTGCAATAACCCTTTTAATTTCTTTTCTACTCTTTTACTGCTTAAGCACTAAACTAGTTACTTCAACCGTTTTGATTTAAAAGCTCATTTAAATGTATGTAAACAACTTTTGAGACAAACCTGCACCATCACACACACAGAACTGAATAATGACACTAAAGCTATGACTGCTCTTCTTAGCACACAAGATAGCTTACAAATCAAACCTGAAATTACACATGGCTCTGTCTATCTCAGTACCCCAGTCCCCAAATAGTATATAGTGAATTTTCATTACATACTAAATTAATAATTATCTTTATTAAATAAACTATTTTAATATATTCTAAATAAAATATAGATAACATATTTAATCTGTTATTAATGCAAACCATTTAAAACCTTATGCTGTGAACCAATGGAACTAGGGAGAATGCACACCTTCTCAGTCAGAAAAGAAATTGTATGAAAGAAAACCAACACTGGATAAACAGTAAAAAAAAAACTCACCTTCTTTGTTACCGGTTTCAGCTGGTGAAGGAAGAGTGGCATTATGCAGAGCTGCCACATTAGCTACTGCATTCGCTGTTACTGTGAATGCTGTCTGAGGAACTAGCCTTGGCATGAGGGGGACAAGCCGACGACCTTCAATGGACCATTCAGCTGAGCTGTTAGGCCCAGACATACTGTAGATAACAGAAGAATATATATTTGTTTAACACAATGCTACTTTCTTATTTATACCACTCATCAAAAGAGGCAAATTTAAAATTATCATCCTTTTAAAAAAAATTCTATAAAATGGAATGCATGACCATTATGGACTTTTACTTGTCAGGAGTAGAGTCCAATTAGGTCGAGTTGGTGACTTACTTCTTCCTCAGTCTTTAACAGCTGAAAACTGCATTCTCCTCCTTTTACCATTGCTCAATCATAACATGCAAGATGTTTCTTCCTAATAACATCCCAACAAGAAATTACTACGCAAGATTCAATCACCTGGCTGTTCTACAGGGCAACATAAATTACATTCTAAAATAACCCCAATAACTTTCTTTTCAAGCCAAACAATGTGTAAATGATAGGAAGTTTATAGTTCAGTATGTCTGTAACACACCAATACATCTCAATTTGAATTCCAGTCTGTGACGTTAACTAATGTCGACTGTCGCTCAGTTGGGAGCAATCTTGTTTGAGTCACAATGTTCAGCGTTCAAGTCCGACACTCGGTCTTGAGCACACAAATCAAGGTTCATATTCCAGTGCAGCACTGAGAGAATCTTTCACTGCTAGAGGTGTCATCTTTTGGATGAGATGTTAAACCAAGGCACCAGTGTTCTCAAGTTGATGTAAAAAGGTCCTATGGCATTTTTCTGAAGAAGGTGGGGAAGTAATTCCGAGTATTCCAGTCAATATTTGTCCCTTAAATCAACATTTGGTCATGCATGCACACTAGTGTCACATTTCCCACATTACAACTATGACCACCATGGTCCTATGTCAAATTAGCTGCAAAATACTTTGAAATGTTTGAAGGTCGCAAGAAGAGTTGTATATACAGAAACCTTCTTATTGTAATCTCAGTTGGTGGTAAGAAACAACAACTGGTCTCTGCACCTAGAATATCCACCCTTTTTCAATCCTGCTGGTATTCTTCCAAAGTGTGTCTACACAGTAGTAGAGCAGAACACCCGAGTGAAGCAAAAAGTGTGCAGTTTCTACAAAATAACACCCTACTATTGATCAGCAGGTTACTCAGTGAAGCAAACAAGAAGTAGTGATTTTTTCTTTTAACTCTCAGCCTCCAAATTTACACATACATGTAAAATGTCTGTCTCAATTGGGTAGCTAATGGGCTCACATCAATTATTAACTGGGGGTTTCAATAAAGAAAATCTCAACTTCTTTACAGCGAGGACTGAAAATTAAGGAATAATTTGATTTTGTTGTACATATGCCAATACCAAGTTGAAATTCCAGGGGACAGATCTCGCAGGGAAGGCATTAATTTGTGCTAAACAATTGAAGTGACTTCAGCTTTTAAAGCCACATAAAATATAACAGAAAATTGGTCAGAAAAAAACCAACCCTTCACAAGGAAACTTACTGATGTGCAATGGTCAGCAATCTTTCATCATTAACTGCTCTACGAACCTCTGCACGGTGGCGCTCTGTTGAAATGCTATAAATGGAAAAGAAAAATCTTCAAAATATTGATCTACAATATGGTTTTTACTTGTACCAATGCTATTCAGCCTGACCTCTCATTTTACACCCTTCATAAACCTGTACTAATCCAAAACTCAGCTTCCAATTTCTTAACTTACACCAAATTCTGTTCATCCATTATGCCCAGATTCACTGACCTACACTGGTTCCCATGCAGCAAAGTCCAATTTGAAAATTACTGTCTTCATTTCCAAGTCCCTCCATGGGCTTGTGCCTTCCTATTTATTTCGGCCCTTCGCAAGCTTGACAAATATTTGAGATCTCTGTACACTTGTAATTCTGGAAATTTAGGCATCATCAATTTTCGGTTGCTCCTCCCCTGGCTACAATGCCTTCAGCTGCCTAGCACCTAATCTGGAATTTCCATTCCAAACCTCTCCAATACAAATACTCATGTTTAAAGACAACCTTAAAAATCTACCACTTGGGTGAATCTTCTGGGCCCATGACTCCATAACTCCATTTGTGCCCCAGTGTAAAATTTTGATTAATAACACTGACATAACACAATTTAGGATGTCATGCTAAAGGCCATGAGCATAAATCCAGGCATGGCTGTCGTTTTTGTACTATTTACTTCCAAACATTCATGCCACAGGAACAAGAGATAAGGCATGTAAATTAATGGGAGAAGATGGTGGTGCAGCAGTAACGTCACTGGACAATAAGGTTCAAAATACCATGGTAGCTTGTGGAATTTAAACTTAATTAATATCATCCAAAACTGAAAGATAATTTGAGTAATGGTGACCATGAAACAGTGGTCAATTGTCACAAAAATCAACATGGTTCCCTTTCTTACCTATAGGTCTGGTCTATGCAGGTTCCCAGATCCACAACAATGAGGGTGATTCTTTACTGCCCTCTGAAATGGCTTAGCAATCCACTCAGTTCAAGCACAATTTTACGCAATGACCACATCCCATCAAACAATTCTTTCAAAAAGTCACACTTGCTTCAATCTCCAGAAAGCATGGAGAGGACCCATTCCAATGCAATTGATGCTGTTCCTGCTGACGGAACTAGAAAACTTGTACTTCATGAATTTTACAATTTTGTGTGTAAAATGGGGCATTTTCGTAAGATAAAGATGCAACAATAAATATAAGATTACTGAGTATCACAACAAAAGGCTAGAGATTTCTCCACAGAGAAAAAGAAACAAGAAAAAAAACATGTCAATATTAAGGCAGTCATTGGATGATCACTGCAAACAACATCCTCCAATCATGTCAAAACTGCAATTGAAAACATGAAGTTGAGGGGTGGGTGGAATAATGTATTAAAAATTATGTATATGAAACGAAAACAAAACATAGCAAAACAGATTATAATCTCCCTATAAAATTTACCTAAGAACCTTGGCTAATTCTCCAAGGAGGTCCTTCTTTTCTTTTGTAAGGTCACCTTGTGCTCGAAGAGCACTAACAGCACCAGCATAAGCTTCAAGTTCTAAAAAGCAAGAGAGAAATAGTAAAAACACCTTTCTAACCTGTATATCTCCAAACTGTTCCAGGAACAGATGAATATTTTACTCCTTCAAGTTTGTTTATCAATTTATTTTCTAATTAGAAACAGATTTTTGTTTTCTCAAAATATTTTGCACAATTTGTACCCAAACAAATTATATAAACTTTGGGTACATCACCCCAATTCTTCAATGTGCCCTCAATAAAGATCAATTAACTTAGAATAGAATAAAGCTGAAAAAAAAATCAGTAATTCACAAAACAATCTGATTGTAGCAGGAAAGGAGGATATAATCCATAATATTCTACCAAGTTTTCGGAGTATTCTCTTGCACTCATCCCTGCTGAGATCCAGAAGACTCGGCCAAACAGCAGGCATAGTGGTGGCGATGTTCTACAGCGTCAGCCTAACCCTGCAACTAAATTGCAAAAGGAGACATTTAATTCCTCTCACATGACAATCTAAAAAAATTAAGACTGATGAATGCAAACACTTTTGAAATAAAAGTGACATGACTTTGTAACAATGAAATAATAGTAAATCGTCTCAATACAATTGTAGTAACAAGCCTGTTCATTATGAAGCATATTCCAAATGATGCAGAAACTAAAAAGAATCTTCATTGTATCCAGTATTACGATTAAGAACTGCAACACTGACATAAAGATTTAAGGAGATGCTCTTCAATGCCTGAAACATCATTCCTGAAGCTTCATTCAAACATGTGGGCAATCATTTACGCCTCACTGCAAAATCAACGTAGACAGTTTTGGAATGCATACTTCCTCCTTGTTCAAAAATATTCCTATGCTTTCTCCTTCGTTGTTTTCCTCCATTTAACCATTTGAATCCTAGGGCTTTTTCAGATCACTAATAGTCTCCCACAGAAATGGAGCTGATATTCTCCCTTCAAAAACCTCCCTACACCTCTGGCCTTGAACTTCCACTTCTGTCACAAACTTTAGCTTAATTTTATCTACATTGTGGCTGTTACTGCTCTGATATTTCTTTAACTCTATTATGCTTCAAGAACACCATCCCACATGGTGCTGCACATTAAGAAATTAAGGTTTGAGTACACATTATCATACCATTTGCCAAGACAGCTAAACTATCCAGAGGAAGGAAGCTTTTAAACCCAGGGTGGATACTGTCCAATTCTTTATTGAACATTTCAAGTCTGATTGTATATTTTTAAGTCAGTCATGGGCTGAAAGCATCATTGACTACGTCAGCACTTACTGACCATCTCTTGCTCCTTAAGTCCGGTCATTTACTTGTGCTTCTCCATTCAAACAAAAACATTCCTGGCCATGACCCACGCAGCAAAATTATAGGAACACCATCTAGATCTGATACAACTATTTCTTCAACATCCCAGTACCATAATCCTGGCACTTCTGACTTAACAGTATCAGTACAAATTCCAGAAGACCAGTGCTGTGAAAGAATTCTGATTAACAGTTTGGGTTTCTACCAGTGTTCAACTTGTTTTAAAATAACTATGTCAGTCAGTCTTTCCAGAACCATGAGCTAAATCCAGTATGTGCAAGAGAGCAGGGAACCTCTGGAATATTAATGGTAGATTGCTAGTATTATAATGGGTTTACAACAGGAAGTGACCATAAGACATAGGAGCAGAAGTAGGCCATTCAGCCCATCAGATCTGCTCTAGTATTTAGTTAGATCATGGCTGATCTGATAATCCTCAACTCCACTTTTCTGCCTTTTCCCCACTAACCTTGATGCCCTTACTGTTTAAAAATCTGTCCACCTCATTCTTGAATATCCTTGATGACCCAGCATCTACAGCACTTTGCAGTAAAGAATTCCACAGATTGACTGTCCGCTAAGAGAAGAAATTCCTAATCTCGGTCTTAAATGGATGATCCCTTACATTCAGATTATGCCCTCTGGTCCTAGACTCTCCCATAAGGGGAAACAACCTCTCTGCATCTACCCTGTCAAGTCCCCAAAGAAACTCGTTATGTTTCAATAAAGTTGTATATTATTCTTCTAAACTTCAATGAATATTGATTCAACATCTCCTCACAAGTCCTTTCATACCCAGATCAACCTTCCCTTCGCCACCTTTAATACCATTATATCTTTTCTTAGAAAAGGAACCCGAAACTGTATTTCATCTGACTATAGTTTTAGCAAGATCTCTGTATATTTATGATCCATTCTCTTTGAAAGAAAGGGCAACATTCAATTTGTTATCCCTAGTACCTGCGAAGGTTGGATGCTAGCTTTTTTATGATGTATGCACGAGACTCCCAAATCCCTCTGTGCTCTAGCCTTCTGCAATCTTTCTCAATTTGAATAATAGTCACCTCCTCTATTCCTCCTGCCAAAGTACATATCCTCAGATTTTATTCCATCTGCCATGTTATGCCCTCTCATTCAAATTCCTTATTCCCCTGCAGACTGTCATCCTCATTAAATGCCTTCTCACTTACTTTGGTGTCATCAGTAAATTTGGCAAGAGTATCTTCACTTCCCTTATCCAAGTAAATAATACATTCTTAAAAATAATTGTGGCCCCAGTACTGATCCCTGTGGTGCTCCATTAGTTACAGATTGCCATTCTGAAAATAACCCCCTTATCCCAACACTGTTTTCTATTAGTTAGCTAACACTCTATCCATGCAAATATATTCTCATCAACAACAGATGATGTGTTCAGTTGTGGTCGCTTCATTATAGGAAGGATGTAGAAGCTTTAGAGAAGGTGCAGAGGAGGTTTACCATGATGCTGCCTGGAATAAAGGGCAGGTCTTATGAGGAAAGGTTGAGGAAGTTAGGGCTTTTCTCATTGGAGCGAAGGATCAGAGGTGACCTCATAGAGGTATACAAGATGATGATAGGCATACATAGAGTGGATAGCCAGAGACTTTTTTCCAGGGCAGAAATGGCTACCACGAGGGGGCATAATTTTAAAGTGACTGGAGGAAGGTATAGGGGAGGTGTCAGAGGTAGGTTCTTTACACAGAGAGTGGTGGGTGCGTGGAACACACAGCCAGCAGTGGCAGAGTCAGATACGTTAGGGACATTTAAGCAACTCTTGGATTGGCACATGGAGGATAGTAAAATGAAGGGTTCTAGCACGGGCTCTTTTCGTATTAAGTAGCCTAACATGTGGTAACCACACTCAGCTTGTTCCTTCAACTTGATGCTACTAGTTTATTAAGTCCCCTAACGTCAAACACTGAAAATCCAAATGCATTACATCTACTGCTTCTCTTTTATCTGTACCATTTTTTGTCTCCTCAAAAGAATTCTGATAGATTTGTCAGACACAATTTCCCTTCAAGAAGCCATGTTGACTCTGTTTCATCATACTGTGCATTCCTAAATGCTTTGCTATTATATTCTTTTCTAATAGTTTCTAACATTTTCCCAATGACACACATTATACTAACTGATCCAGTTTACTTAGAAAGAGGAGGCGGCAAAATAAAGGTAAGATGTTTTACTGGCAGTTTTCCAGAATATAAAGGATTCTTGCAAGATTACTACCAATGTCTCTCTCTGTAGCTAATTTTTTTTTTAAAAAAGTATGGTAGGATGCATCCCATCAAAGAACAGGTCATCCTAGACTGGGTATTGTGTAATGAGAAAGGAATAATTTGTGGATCTAGTTGTGGCAAACCTCCGGGGATTAGCAACCATAATATGATGGAAGTCGTCATCGAGATGGAGAGTGACATAGTTGATTCTGCAACTAGGGTCCTGAATCTAAATAGAGGCAGATACGATGGTATGAGGCATGAGGTGACCATGATAGAGATAGAGACTGTCACTGAAAGGAACGACAGTGGAACAGCAATGGTAAACATTCAAAGATAGCATGGGTAAACTCCAACAATTGTTCATTCCTGTCTGATGCAAAAGTAGAACTAGAAAGGTGACCAAACTATGGCTTACACGGGAAATTAGAGATAGTACTAGACCCAAGTAAGAGGCATACAAATTGGCCAAACCAACCTGAGCAGTGGTCCAGAATTTAGCAAAGGAGGACAAATGAATTGATTAAGTAAGGCAAGATAAAGTACAATAGTAGGCTTGCAGGGAACATATAAACTGACAGTAAACGTTTCTATCATTGTAAGAAGAGAAAAAGATTGGTTATACAGGCAAGACAAACAGTAGAAATAGGGGAGTTTTTAATGTGGACAAAAGAAGTGGCTGACCAACTCAATACATAATTTAGTTCTGTGTTCACGTAGGAGGACACAAGTAAGATACCAGAAATTTTGGGGAAAGACAGTGTTTAGGGAGAGGGAGGAACTGAAGGAAATCAGTATTAGTAGGGAAGTGATGTTTGGGAAATTGATGCAATTGAAAGCCAACAAATCCCGAGGGCCTGTTAATCAACATCCCAAGGTACTTAAGGAAATGGCCCAATACATAGTGGTTATTTTGCTGGTCATCATCCAAGAATCTATACACTTTGGAACAGTTCGCACTGATTGGAGGGTAGCTAATGTAACCTCTCTAATTAAGAGAGGAGGCGTGGACAAAAAAGTGGGAATTATAGACCAATCTGCTGATGTTACTAGCACAGAAAATGCTAGTGTCCACTATAAAAGAATTAATTGTTGAGCATTTGGAAACAGTGGCAGAATCACTCGCAGTCAGCATGAATTTACAAAAAGGAAATCATGCTTAACAAATCTACTGGAATCCTTTGAGAATGTACCTAGTAGATGTGATGAAGGGAAGCCAGTGGATGTGGATTATTTGGACTTTCAGATTATTTTGAAAGCATCCCACAGAAGAAATTAGTGTGTAAAATGGAAACGCATGGGATTGAGGTAGTGGTATTGAGGTGGACAGAAAACAGGTTGGTAGACAGGAAACAATGAGTAAGGATAAACAATATTTTCCAAATGGCAAGCAGTGATTCCTGAGGTTCCACAGATAATCATTTCTTGGACCTCAGCTATTCACAATATACATATATAATGATTTTAATGAGGGAACCAACTGTAATATTTCCAAATCTGCAGGTGACACAAGGGTAGGTGGGAGGATGAGCTGTGAGGAGGATGCAGAGACTCTTCAGCGTGATTTAGACAAGTTGAGTGAGTGGGCAAATGCAGAACAATGTGGATAAATCTGTGGAAATTGCCATTCCTACCTCATCCTGCCTATATGTGACTCCGGACCTACAGCAATTTGGTTGACTCTGAACTACACTCCAGGCAATAAATGCTGCCCTAGCCAGCAACGCCCACCTCCCACAAATCCATATTAAAAAAGGCAAATGGCGCTTTGCCCTACATAACAATCGGATTCAAGTACAGGAGCAGTGATGTATATTGCATGTATTTCGTCTCCTCTTTTTGCCCCTTGATTATTGAGTATTTTTGGAATGCTATTAGTGTTTTCTGTAAAACTGTTGTAAAATAT